CTGTCATGGAAACTTTCATATAATCAATTTATACTTCAGTAAAGCATGTTCAGAAAGTCTATGAAATATCTAACAACAGAGAATAAACGCGGTCAGTTGGGCTATTCTGCTTTTAGGTAATATATAATCATTCTGGTGTGGATTTCTTTATCAAGTTCATAGTTCTGAGTATTGATCAAGTTCACAATGAACCATAAAGTAAGGTGAATCGACATGCATAATGCAGTTCTATAGGAGACCACTAATGGTCTCAATACTTTAATGACAGTGTTACTTACTTCACCACTGATTGACTTCAGTTGTAATTTCTAAGGGGAAACATGTGACTTCAAACATGAGATATACCTGCCCTGCTCATAAGCACGAACTAGTTGAAAGTTACGACTAAAGCCAAAGCTATATCATTCTATCTTGCTTAAAAGGCTTGGAGTCTTTCAAAATATAGATTTAACATTGGTATTTTAATTGAAATATCGGAAAAAATAAATGTTGATCGTCAATATAATGAAATCTATAGTTGACAACTAACTACTCACTCTATTCAATTTAGGTAGTATATTCGGTTATTTGATTTTCTGTGCAGTTTTTTAATCACACCTAATGAACGTGATTGACTTAATCAAAGTATACAATTAACGTTAACATATTCTATTTTAAAACTTGATCAGTAGAATGAGCAATGAATCAACTGTGGGATTTCTACTAAAACAAGAGATGAGTAGGTGGAAATGACTGATCGAATCAGACATCACTACTTACCAACCAATTTGAGACGATATTAGCACCAGAGAGCAATCAGGAAAGTTTAATGGGAGAGTAGTTCATTAAATTCGAAGCTGGATCGATTTATTGCAGATAGTTAAACTGTTCACGATGGTCATGTCCTTACAAATCATCTGATTCCAAGTTTTTCTTTTTCTGTATCCGACATGATTCGAGATAAGATGGACTACGTCAGATAAAAACTCTGTTATGAAACTGCACTTTGCTTTGACGTTGATACACGAAGTTTTACACAAAAAATGAAAAACACTCCCCAAGTTGAAAAAGGATGATGGACTGGTCGGCGAACTATTAGATTAAATGATCTGTGTTCAGGTTATTTCGATATGGCCAGCAAGTTTTGGTGATTCTATCCACACGTGTTAATGGATGTTTCATATCACACAGTTATCATTCGGTATTGTAGCAGTGATTTGAAAGCCTTAACATACCAAGAAGACTAGGTTGGGGTTTTCATAAGTGGGTTGAACACACTTGTGTCATTGAAAATAGAGAACGTAAATAAACTGTAATCGAAATATAAATTATGCGAAGGTTGCCTTGCTACTTTCAAGTAGTACATTTAGGATAAATAAAAATTTCGTAGGACGTTAGTTTTCATTAGTATGGACAAGTAGTAGTAGTATTTACGAAATAAAATGTGAGCCTTCATCAACAAAAGTGACTTGGACATGCACTGCTCATACCGAGTCACCATCTACTTCGAAATGCAATACTGGGGAAGTTAAGACAGGTGTAGAAGGGGGTTGATTGTGGTCAGAGTGAGACATGACACCAGTCCATGAAGTCCCTCAGTGTTGGTCTGAGCTGTATAGGAGGTGTAGACTGTATGGCTGAGGTCCACAAGGCAATAGGAACCAGTGGTTAAAAACTCATAATGACATAGCTGAAAATCGGTGTAGATGTATTTCTCTCTTTGATGTCCTGTGGTGCCTGAATGTTTTAATTGACCTTTATTTGTGCACTACTGTGGAGTGTGGTAACATAAACTGATTCACTTGTATGCGACGTTCAATATCGACTTCATCTGTCTGGCAAAATAAAATGAATGCATTTTTTATAAATTTTATCCGTTTTTCTTCAGCTATCTCTAACCTGAATAAATGAATGAATCAATGCAAACCTTACTGTAAATAAAAACGACTTAAGTATTTTTAGATAGCAGTCCTTGACATATAAACTGATTTGAAATGAATCAGTTCTCCGCAAACCTCTTCATTGAACTATTCTGCAGTGATGATGATGGATTGATACAAGAATACATTTCTAGTGTTATTGCAACAGGCTATAGTCTGAGGGGTTCGAACAAGTCGGGTTCCGAAACAAAGAATCTCTGACAGCATAGAATTACAGACAGGCTGTATAACGAGTTGAGAGAAATAGTTTAATATGCACCAATGAACTCCTTCCCAAGGGCTGAACGAAGCAGCCTTCACCTTTGTAGACGATCCAGACCAACATTGAGGGACTTGATGAACTAGTGTCTCGTCTTAATCAGACCAACATGAACCCTCTTGCAACTCAATCCATCTTCCGTTATCATCACATTTCTAGGTAGGTGGTAGCTTGGCATGCGGAACACATATCCAAGCCGCTTCAGCCGATGTCTTTTTTATTACCCTTCACCCGAATGCAGTATTTCTCACAACATCAGTAATAATCATTGACAGTATTTACTTGCCCGAAATTCTATCCACCACAGTTGCATCTTTTCTTCGATAAAATTCATCACTGATAGGTGTATCATTGACCAGGTGATGAAGACGAAGACTTCAATTCTGTAACTACCGTAGCATGCTGCAGTGACTCGATTTCCCTTGCGAGCCTTATCGCAGACTCAACAATTAGCACTTTATAACTTCACTCAAGTTTTCGATACACTATGATTGTTAATAATTATCGCTTTCATACAAATATCGTTCCTGTTGTCCATTTCTCTTCTTTTCTCGTAAGGCTACAACTTGCCATCTATGTGACCTATCAAAATGTCAATAAAAGGAGTTTTGTCTCACATAGGCTGATCAATTTTCCAGTGATTCATAAGTTAAAAAGCCCCTGTTTGACATTTCTCACTGCCGAATAGTTTTTTAGTTGCTACTCAACTGCGGTGTCAACAGGATTTGTCTTCGAAACCAGCCAGTCAAGATCACAAGGTTGGATCTCTGACATAAAAAGTGTCATGAACTAGAAAGACATACTAGTACTGAGCAACAAGAGAAGTTAAAAGCCAATTAGGCTGATCTCAAGATTTTCACCAGTCAAATCAGAGTGATCTACACACCAAAAGTGGATAGTGAAATTCATAAATCACCCTCATACTGATCATCCTATTTTAGGTGCACCGGTTCGACCATACAAGTCAGCTAGCCATAATCAGGTTATATGAACAATTTTGTTCTGTGAGTTGAATTTTTTTGAATACACTGCTGATGATCTCGGCTCTAAACGAGCGAAACAGAGGTCCAGTTTTTAGATCGATCTGATTTGTATGGCGAAATCTACAGATAGGTATAAGTGGTTTCTAACTACTCACTTTATTCAGTAGCATATTGCGTAAGTTACGTTCCAATCTCTCAATAACAATTGCTCGGGTAAAATGCAATAAATTCCAGTTAATCTGTTTGTGAACTGCTTTCATTAATTTCTTGATATCAAATTCATATCCACTATTATTAACGTGATGTGCAATAGTTTTGTTGAAGGATTTCAAATTTCCTAGTCAGAACCCCTTGAAGTGTGCTCATGCTTGTGGCCATACAACCTTCTTACTGTTCATCCAGTGTCTCAGTAAGAAATTCATTTGGTAAATTGCTATTAACCTGAAGCTGAAAAGGTCCTCTTAAACGCAAGACTTATTCGGTAATTAGTTCTCTAATAAACATCAGCACTTTTAGAAAGACATTTGTCTTGACTACATCATACTTCTCACTTGCATTTGGCATTTTATGGTAGTTATCGACCGGGTTTTATGCATATCCCTTTGTCAAAAAAGTAGTTTTAGTTTTGAACAATGGTCCTTTTCTCTCCGAGTCTAACTTTCGAAAAAAGACATTTTATATGGTGGTCATCTTTTCTTCAGGCAGATAATTTCCTGTTAAACTGATTCAAATATGTACACTTTTTGCTACTGCCTTTTGGCGGTTAGCAGTGAGACCTAGGGGAAACTTTTCGTCCCATTAGAGGCCTCATCAGTCGGATGAGCCTTGGTACTCATCGTTACAAACGTTAGAGCGCTGTATACTGATCTACTGAGGCCTGGCAGCTATACTTCTAATGCTACTGGTATAAGTTGTTATTTATTTGTACGTGTAGTTTTCCGTCGGTATACCGGAACGAATTAATTGACCGTCTGTCTCTTACTTTATTTATTCTCCTTCAATGCTAATGCTTACTTGTTTGAAACAGTTGAAAGAGGGGGAATCCTTCTAGAAAGCTCATCTTCAACCATAAATATAAAAATATTCCTTCATAATTTCATTCACTGTCCCTAAGTACCCCAAACACGGAATCGATTACACCAATTGTTCAGTGGGATGTTGCCTAGTTCTGACTATTTTTAGAATAATTGTAACGACTAGCTTTGTACTGAAGTCATAGGACTGAATAACTGTATATATTATAATATAATCCCCCCCCTCAAATAGTTGAATAGTTGAAGACAAATGTCGGAGTCCTGTTTGTAGATTGTATAGATAGTTTACTTGTTTATTTAATACTGGTGGGAAACAAAAACTTACCTGTAGTTTTAAGCAGGCTGATAGTAAATGTAAGAACTGAACCGGAATAGGTCAACACTCCTAATAAAGACTCTATGGACTGTATCAAGACTGCGTTAGACTTCTCATGGATTCCTTAATGTGGGTCAGAACTCTTAGATTTTCAACAATTCTCAAGCTGACGTTCATCGGAAGATATAAAAAATGAATAGAAGACTATATTAAGGATGGATGGTGGCTAGCAGTGGAATCCAGTAAACGGGTTTCATCCTATTTAGGACTCATCAGCTGGCTGTACCTGCCTCACATTGGGACTCCGGCTGACGAGTGTTAAATAGAACGAAACACGCGTAAGAGATTGCACTGCTAACGACTATTCATCATCAGTATGTAATTCAAGCACAAGCAATATGGAGGCATCCGCACAGGCACCCATATACCAACAGAGACCGATCAATTCGGTCCACTCAGTGACATTGAACTGAAAACTAATATCGTATTATTCAAACATATATACTTATTTATTTGTATTTCATATAAGAAATTAGACTTTATTTATCATTCACTAATCAGTAGGGCATAATAATTATCTTTATATCATAACATAACAAAACTTCACACACACACTTAGAGGCACTTTGTGTTTTAATGTAAATGTGTGGTGTATTCGGGCAACTGAAGAGTTGAGAATTAAAAAGAGACATAAATAACAATTAGGTATTTACTCAAATTTTCATATACTTCTCTGCTTCTTTTTTTTCGTAAATTGGTTAATTATTTATTTATTGGTGATTTAATTACTTCTCAGCTAATGAAAACATACTCTGCCTAACTCTAAGCCAATAATCTGTTGTGGATGATCCACTTGTGGTAAGATTATGTCGCGTAATGGTAGACGGTGAGATCGTGTATCGACTTCTATTGTCATTTTGCCAAATGTAGACTCTGTTGACTTCATAAGGCGGGAGAAAGAGGGAGAAAAAGAAAACCACAAAAAGGTTACTTATCAGTAGTCTATATATATATATATATATATATATATATATATATATATATATATATATATATATGTAACCACCAAAAATGACAGAAAGCGAAAGAACAAAATGAGAACTAGTAAACATGGTGGGTTATTGGAAGTAATTAGGAAGAGATTATGTCTGGCCTAAGCTTCGTACTCACTGGCACTCGTTAACAATGCGCATTGTCTTAGGGATTTGAAATTATATCACGCAATGCTTTAATTGATGATATTACCATGTGGTTATCTGAGATGATTACCAGGCTAGGTCAGGCACGAAATCCTGGCAGTTGCCTCCAACCATATAACAATAATTAAACAGAATCAAAATATTGAGTCTTCAGGCAGACTCTTAGAACTGAATGACATGACATTGGTACTGTAACACATACATACAGATATGCATGTCTAACACATCTTTCTTTTCGCATAGTTTACTGATAAACTGATATGCTTATTGCAAGCAGTTACAAGGTAATATGATACTGTATAATTACTATAAAGAGGCGTATTAATTCTGCTGAGTTCAAGTAGACAGCAAGCAATACAATACTTCCTAACTGAGATTATAGTTCAAACTTTTGTTAACCAATTAAAGTATAAAATATGAACAATGAATTGAATGGGTAAATAAAATCGATCTAATCATCGAAAATTTTTTGCTTATTTTATGCTCTTAAGAAATATAACAGTAAAATGCCTTAGGAGGGGATAACCTTGAAAAAATTGAAGGATTAATCTATATTACTCGTTGTTATTATTAGTATTATTGATATTTGTATTACCTGACAACTATTTTCTACAAGTTTATAGTTTAGAATTGATCCATTTTCAGTTAATTCTTTATCATTATTTGTAAATAAACGTGGAGATCGTTTACCACTGAAATCGATTTCGTTACATAATAATGTTAATTGTTGACTAGCTTTTGATGATAAAAGTTGTAAATAGTTAATTTGATTTATTGATATATCATAAGAAAACTGAAAAAAAAAGAAGACAAAACTACAATAACAAATGAATATTTTTAATGTATAATAAATAATTGTGCTAAAAAATTTATTCAACTTACCTTAAAAATTTATTATGCATATTATCGATTTAAATTCACTATTCTCTTGCCCTTATTTTGAGCTATAGGCAAAATGTCATCTTTCTCATATTCCTTAATATCTCTTTCTTATTTAATTAGTGTTTATGGTTAGTAAACAATAATGTTAAATCCAATTCGAAATGAATTCTTTAAGTTTTCATTGAAAGATTCTTTTCAAATTGTTGACTATCTTAGTAACATGAATATAGAAAAAAACAAGATTATGTACTCTTTCTATGTAAATTCCTTATTCACTAACGTGCCATTGTCCAAGACTATTAGCATTCTCTGTGACTATATATCCTTTAAAAAACCTCCCATTTCCTATCACTCCAATGTTTCTGAAGGAGTTATTATTGTTGTGTACCGCCAAAGTCCACTTCACATTTGAAGGTGAACGCTTTCGACAAGTTGACGGTGTAGCTATGGGTAGTCCATTAGGACCACTACTGGCTGATATTTATATGTCATATATTGAAAATCTGGCTGGTGATCTCATTGCTAAAGTTTCTCTTTACAAGAGATTTTTTTGATGACATCATAGTGATTTGTGAGACGCATGAGGATATAACTTGTCTACAAAATATACTTAACGCCGTACAAACACACATCAGCCTGACATGTGAGAAAGAGAATAGTAATCAACTACCATTCCTGGATACACTTCTGAGTCGACGAGAAGATGGTTCAATAAAACGGTCAGTTTACAGCCAGCCTACATGGACAGAACAATACCTGAATTTCCACAGTTTTTGTCCAATCCAATACAAGCGAGGTTTAGTAAAATGCCTGTTTAATAGGATCTATCGTATCAGTACACCAGGTGCGATGAATGAAGACATCAAATTACTGAGCAAAGCACTTATGGAAAATGGATATCCGTTGAAGTTTATAAACCGTTGTAGAGGTCAAGTAGCGCCAAAGTCAACTGTATACACGGTCCTTAAGAAAAATGTCTATATCACTCTACCATACAGAGGGGAGCTAAATAGTATCATTTTGAGACGTAGGCTGACATCAGCCATTAAGAAAACGTATTACGCGACGAATCTTATCATTGTGGAGTACCGATGGAAGCATGATCACTCACTGACATGCAGTGTCTCAAATAAGACAAAACACGCTTTTAGAACTCCACTGCTAGTCACCGGCAAACAAACAACACTAAAATACTGGACTTATTCATTTTGGTACAGTATTCTACCCTGTCTTGTCTCTGTCTGTCTGTCCATCCGCCTGATGATGACAGGTTAATTCAAGACATGTAGACAAGCTTGCAAAATAAATTATATATTCAACTGAAGTAGTACATTGATGAGTGTATAAAGAACAAAAAGAGGAATAAACGAAACTTCACCATCGTTATTGATTTTAAATTATTCTACTTTACATAGATGACTAATAGTTCATGAAAGATACTTCGTGGATTTCATCAACAACCAAACTGGTCACTGAATAGTTTACTGAAGAGATTATCTCACAAGTCTTCGCTGTAACAGATCATGAGTGTTGATTTAAATACATATAGTTTGATTTCAAGTTGGTATTCATCATAGACTAACATCAATTGAAGAAACATTGGACGCCTGGGAGAACTAGACAGCTGTTTCCTCCTAGTATGAGACTCTTCAGCAGTGCGCACCCAATCACCCGTCCAGAGATAGAATTGACATATGATTTGAATTGATGGTTTGCATAGCGCAGAGGTTAGGAGGGTGGGAGAATTGATTCGTTACAGAGTAGTATTTATCAAGGAGTTGTATTGTTATAGTGATGTTGGACAAGTTACATGGAATAATATTTGTCAGTAGTATCCATTCTGTAGACTTCACTCATCTTTTTGATAGATATACTTCAGGAGATAATAGCACTTTCTTTTAACCTTCAAATGTTTCATCTCTTGGCGTAAGACTCGCTAACAGATTGGAAGTACACCGATAACATGACTGTACTATATGAAAACGGTGACTGTGAATACACTGAACCACAAAGTGAAAATATTTTGGATACCCTCCTCACATTCCAGGCACCAGTTGTACTGTAAACCTGGTAGACATCCATATCTCACTTAGAGAGGAAGTTAAGCGGTTAAAGTGGTTAAACTAAATAATAAATAGCCTAGTATGAAACAGAAGATAACTTGATTTGGGTCATAATTTGCTTACTGTAGTCAGAAACAGATAGATAAAAAGACAGACAGGCGGATAGATAGATAGACAGACAGATTAGTCATTGCAGAACCTCGCATAGGAGTGCATCGACTCAATAAGACTATTATGCATAATCTCAGTGATTTTTTAATTTTCCCATTTTCTCATAAATTTGTACATTGCTAACATGGAGCAATTACAGATTATGTATTTTGAGGCTAATGGGGATTGAATTTTCAAGGTAGTATTCATCATGAACCGACATCAGCTGGAGAAATATTGGAAACTTGAGAACACTAGACAGCTGTTTTGTTCTAGCATACAACTCTATAGCAGTACAGACCGATGACTTCTCAAGGGATCGAACTCAACATCCCCAGGTTTTACTGCGAACGCGTTGAATGGTTAATTAGTTCGTCGAGAAACCTGAAAGCTGTAAGTTTGGTTGGTAGCAGGGTCATGAATGCGTACTACTGAGGAGTCTATACTAGGATGAAACAGCTGTTCAGTATTCCCAGGTTTCCAATGTTTCTCCAAATGACGTTCATGATGAATGGTACCTTAAAAATTTGTGATTAGTTAGTCACATCATATTTGAAGAAAGTTGTCAGTGTTCAAGATGAAACTAATAACTGGTCAGCAATTGAGTCACCTAGTTCAGTTGGTACAGTAACAGATCCAGGTCGCTGGTGCGAATCATAAGATCACTTTATTAGCACAATATTATTTCAAAATAGTCTAGTCAATAATGATAAGCATCTTGACAACTTCTTACCTGTCCTTCTCCATACAGTTGACTAAACCAGATATCTTTGCCAATGTTTTTCTTTTCCGTATTATTTTTATGTTGATAAGAAGTGGTTAATGGTGAGAAACATGTTTCACCTGAACGTAGACGACAAAATACTTTGACTGCATCCTTGTTTGAACCACCATTGGGATCAATCCAGTATTCGCCTGAATAAAAAAAATGAAATAACATGTAACCTAATGTGTCTTAGAATTTGCCTTCAGCTGAAAAAAGTATCTGCTCAAACTATAATCAAAATTAAAGTCTCTGAAACCAGTTTCAAATTAATTCTACTTCACGAGAGAGAGGGAGAGAGAGAGACTTACAGGTCAACTGTAACAACAGCCAAAATAATGAACACTTTAATAAGTTGACACTTGTGAAGGATCTTTCAAATATACTGTTCCAGGATAGCAAGTAATAAGGTTCCGCTGTGCAGAAGCAACCAGTTCACTGATAATAACGAGATTATGAAAAAAAAACTAAAGATCTATGAATTATATGTACTCTCTTTCTCTACAATGGAAAGCTCAGTGACGCCTTTGAAGTGAAGACAGGAGTAAGACAAGCATGCCTACCATCACCCATAATCTTCCTGATTGTGGTCCACTCAATCATGCAGCAAACTACAAAGAGCTGTGAGAAGATGAGCATTCACTGACTGGACCGATGAAATCAGCCTACAAGATTTGCATTTCGCCAACCATGATGATGATGATGATTTATGTGTGATGTCTCGTCGCACAAACTCGAAGATCTACACTCGAATACCAACAAGTTGACAGAAGAGTTGAGGTGAGGCAAGGTATGGCGAGACAGTGAAGGGAGACGGGACTTCCTTCAGGTGAAAGTAGAGAAGACGGAGGTGATGAAGATAACCAACCAACCAACATCAACAAGAAGAGGTACCAATCACCATGAATATGAGAAATCGACAGGAAGTTGTCTCTTCCACCTACCACCAATGCAAGGCAGCATCGTTTCAACTACACATGGCACAAATGAGGATGTCGAAAGCAGAACTGGAAAAGCAAGCAAGACAGACCTTCCTTCAATAATCTGAAACCAGTGTGCAGATCTACTCCATTACACTCAGCATAAAGCGTGAACAACATCCGGATTTTCAACGCTAATCTAGTCAAGTCAGTCAGTCAGTCAGTCAGTGCTTCTATGTGATGGTTTGGAAATTTGGCGCGTCACGTGAAGCACTTCCAACAAACTACAGACATTCATCAACAGCTGCCGCCTACACTCACTCGGTACTGAAGATCAGATGGATGGCCAGAATAATAAGAATAAGCAACAAGGAACTCTGGCTGGTAATGAATCAACGAAACACGGACCCATCACCCAACAAATGTATGTGCAGAAGAGAGTGGAGATGGATTGGTCAAACACTGAGAATGCCGACTGGGGACATCGCGCGCCAGGTCAGGCCGTGGAGTGGAACCGTCATGAGAAACGACGAGTTGGGCGTGTGAGGTGAGAGTGACATGGAGGAGATCATGTGAGAAAGAAATCAATGCTTGTGGGCAGTGGTGGAGCGAGGTTGAAAAGACTGTAGAGAAGAGAGTGTAATGGAGGTGTGCTAGTGAAGCCGTATGTTCCACCAGGAACACAAGTGAAAAATAATAGTAGTAATAGGAATAATAATATTAATAATAATCTCTCTTTAGTCTGCTTACAAGTACTAGCAGAAAGCCTGAACTTTAAGCTCGCAAGACAAAAGTATAAAGGGGTAGATAGGGCATACGCTTCAAGACCTAAAGGCAAGTTACAAGGCGAAAGAAATCCACCTATAACCAATTGAAAAGAAATGAAATAATGCCTTTTGAAATTGTGTAGTAATCTAGTCGACGTTGAAGATAATAAAGAAAGCAGATAATGACTGTTAAAAAATGAATACTAGAGTTGTTAGATCAACTGTATTTTACGAAGGCTTTTTTGTCCCAAGTTGATACGATTCTTTGTGACTAAAATATGAGTACTGATAAGTAATTAATTCAATAAATAAATTATGCAAGATGTTTTAAATGATACATTTGATATCAGCTGACTTATTTCGTTTTAGAGTTGGCTTTTATATCTGTTTACCAATCTCCCAGGGGATTTATTTTTTTATGATTGGTTCGTCTCTGCGACGTGACCTTGCGAACTGACCTTGTGTATTATAACCTGTAATACACCTTGATTGAGATTTTCTCACTTAGTTTGAACTAAGGACAAGCGGGAATCAATTAAAAAACTTTAGTTATCTGCTAAATCATTCAGATATATCTCAAAATAACTTTTATCAAAGAAAACAATGGACAACTGTCACATCATTTGGCTATTCAGAAGACAAATCAAACATTGACTGAAAGTATTCAATAAACAGCTGATCAACAGATTTCAGTCGACATCCAGAAGATTAATTTTTGTGCATAGTATACTTTTAAAGGAAATCATTATTAATTTATCAAACTGGATGATGAGATGCTGTCAAATTAGAGATATAAGTTCACATTAGATTACAAGGACATCTTCCCACTAATGAGTACTAGTAAGTATATGAAACAAGTAAACAGTCTCCCACTGATCATTTACATAGTCTTAAATAATTAAATGTTTATTATTATTTTATTATTAGTCCCTTGGGTTCCTAGTGGAACATAGGGCTTCAGTAGCACATATCCAGTTACCTCTGTTCTCTGAGATCTTTTGAACCTGGTTCCATGACAGCCCAGAAGCTCTCATTTCTTCCTCGCACGACCTCCTCCATGTCACCCTCGGACGTCCAACTCGTCGCTTCCCATGGGGATTCCACTCGAGTGACTGGCCTGACGCGTGATGTCCCCAGTCGGCCTTCTCAGTGCATGCCCAATCCATCTCCACTTCCTCCTGCATATTTGTTGCGTGATAGGTTCTTGGTTGGTTCGTTCCCAGAGTTCCTTGTTGCTTATTCTTTCTAGCCATCTGATCTTCAGTAGCGAGCCAGCGTAAGCAGTTGTTGATGAATGTCTGTAGTTTATTGGAAATCCCTTTCGTGACGCGCCAAGTCTCTGAGCCATACAGAAGCACTGACTTGACGTTGGTGTTAAAAATCCGGATCTTGTTTTACATGCTGAGTGCAGAAGATCTCCACACTGGTTTCAGGCTAATGAACGCCTGTCTTGCTTTAAATGTTACTATTCATACATTGTCTTTCATGTTTATTGTACTTAGATAAACAGTTTCCGGTTTTGATTGTTGATAATTACGGGAATATCAGTTTCAAAAGAAACTAGGTAGCACGCTTTAAAAGATGATTACTACTCAAATATTCATACAGGAACTAAGATCACACAATCAAAATTATTGCTCAATAAGTAAGTTGGTATTATGCGTCAGTTAACTAGGTAATTTTGAGAAAGTGTTTAATTTCTTTGACTAACTACATCAAAGTCAGTGATCAGTGTCTATTATTTTCACTCGATGAACAATGTATAAGATTAAAAACGAAACCGCAAGTCATTGTGATTTCAAAGTAGGCTAGATAATTTGCTACGACATAGTCTGTATATAATTGGTAAACTTACCATCGGGAAGTTGAGGATGTGTACGTGCTAAATAACTGCATGATCTGACTGGAAAACTGCGTGTACCATTGGGCATTTCTAAGGTGATACCCTTCTGGTCTCCATACATTTTTCCATAGCTCATTGCTGGAGGTCCAGGAGGTCCAGGTGGTCCTTCACTACCCATATGTCCTGGGGGTCCTCGTGGTCCGTCTCTTCCGACAGGGCCAGGACCACCTGGAGGGCCAGGTTCACCAATAAATCCGGCCTCTCCTTGAGGTCCTGGGGCACCAACAGGTCCGATTTCTCCTGGCAAGCCAGAAAGCCCACGATATCCACGCAGTCCCGGTTGTCCCTGTTGTCCACCTATTCCCGGAAGGCCAGGGTCACCAGGAGGGCCAGTCCATCCTTTGTGTCCTTGTGGTCCAGATTTTCCTTGTCTACCTGCTGATCCATCTTTGCCAGGTCGTCCAGGAAGTCCTGGTGGTCCGTCTTCACCTTTTCCTCCAGGTACTCCGTCCACACCAGCATCACCTGGTTCACCTCTGGGACCACTTGGTCCATCTGGTCCCGGTACACCTGGGGGACCACTTGGTCCGGGTGGGCCGGGTTCTCCTAACGGACCTGGTGGCCCCTGAAGTCCTCGTTCTCCTGGAAGGCCTTGTTGTCCAGGTGATCCAACTTCACCTACAGAACCAGCAGCACCTACTTCTCCATCTGGTCCTGGTGGTCCAGGTGGCCCAACGGGACCAGCTGGTCCTTCTGGACCTTCTTTACCTGTTGGCCCTATCTTCCCTTGAGGTCCTGGCACGCCCATAACTCCAGCTGATCCTCTTGCCCCTGGTCTTCCAGGAGCGCCCATTTTCCCCTAGATGGAAAAGGGAAAAGGCCAAATGTAACACTAAGTACACAAAATTTATGACTGTGAAAATACTATGCAAATAAAACTATTATATCTGCTTGCATTTGTAAGTTAGAAATGCTATTCTTATCAAGTAGTTTCTTTTTTTCAATCCTTAAGTGTAATAAAACTACCTATTTCTTGATTTGGTATCTTAAGCTTACAATGAAATTGTCAAACTTATTTTATGCCTCTGTATGCTAATATAATGTTCTGCTGTATAACTGGATGATGACTGAAGGTAAAATGAGAATTTTGAGCCCAGTCAAGCCTCAAAGTTCAGCTGGCAGAGCATTAGGCCGGTAACTCCAGTGGTCACTGGTTTGAATACGGCCATAGTCCAAATTTTCATTTTGCCTTCAGTCATCATCCAGTATAAATAAATACTAGTCTGCCAAACCATGGGTATGGCAGATATTCAACAGCAGTTATCCAAGCCAAATATTGTAGATTTTGGTTTGAAAACTAGTAATCTGCTATCATCGAAAAAGAAAGACTTAACGCTGAGGCTTCAAAAGTTTAAGAGGACACTGAACAATAACTTTAAATGAAGTTTTTCGATAAATGAAAACTGAATGCTTTTTTGTACGGGGAACAACACATCTCTTATTTTTTCTACTTACCAATAGGAACTTTTGGAATTATTTTCATTGGCGCGGTTTTCCTCGCATACGGGTAATATTTCACATCACTCACCAGTGTTCTGATTGGTTCCTGTTTCTTTTAATCAGTCGTTGTTCAAGATCATTGTATTTCTTAGCATATAACTTCTCAGTCTTTACTAATAAATGCCTTCATTTCGAGGTATAAAAAACTCCAAAGAACACCAGTCTTCTGATTTCACTATGCAAATTAGTCGGACTGAATCATCCTAACCCTCAAAATATAAATCGTTAATTATTCTCCTCCGTTCTCAGCGCTCCGTATTTTTTCGCAGTTTTTAAAAGTGCCACTATGAAACAGTAAAAAAATCCCTATTAACTAAAGCATGAAAACATTCCTAACTTCATGAAAAAGGTTACCTGAAGTCCAGGAAGTCCGTCTTTTCCTTGAGTTCCTCTTGGTCCGGCTTGTCCTCTAGGCCCAGTAGGTCCTTCATCTCCAGGTGGACCTTTGGCACCATCGATTCCGGGAGGTCCAGCGGCACCACGTGATCCTTGTGTGCCTGGATTTCCGGGAGCCCCTTGGGGACCAGCAGTTCCATTAACACCGTCTACTCCAGGTAAACCAGGTTCCCCTGATGGACCAGGAATTCCAGATGGTCCTGGAGGACCAGCATATCCAGCATCTCCAGGTTTTCCCGGTGGTCCTTGAGCGCCAACAGCTCCAGATTGACCAGGTTTGCCTGATTTTCCTGGTCTTCCGGGTGTACCATCAACTCCATCTTTACCACGTGGACCTTCAGGACCAGGTGGACCATCTTCACCTGGAGCACCAGATTCCCCGATTGGACCTGGATCACCGGGTGCACCTAGTATTTTTTTTCGAAAAAACACATTAAATGTCACAAAAGGGTTCATGGGAAACTTTTTTCGGAGATTACACATCTAAACAAAATTCAGTCACTCTGAATAGTTATTATTCAAAGCTTCTCTTTTTTTACGATGCTCATTATTACTAAAAGATTTCCACATTTAATCAAATGTCATGCTATTCTCTCTCACTCTGTCTCACATCATCTTATAAGATATAAATGAAAACGTACTCTGTGATAAGAAACATATTTTTCTTCGAGAAACTTGATTAAGCTACTGTGTTTTCAGAGGAGTGTACAATAAGTGGCTGGAATTTCAATAAAGTTCGATGTAAGAACAACACATACACACAAACAGATACACGTATGATGAAATGAATTTTGAGTCAAATTAATCTCAAAAGTCAAAATATGATTGCATAAAATATTTGTCAATAAAAGTATAAACTAACCATATCAATGTAAAAGTAAAGGTCACATTCATTTTAATCTCCAAAGTATTAATTGAACATTAAATGCTTGTTTTAGTAAATCAGTTAATGAATAAACAAATTTTGGCTGAATTTTTAAAATTACCAAATGTATCCATATTTAGTAGCTTTAATCTTAATTTTTTTGTAGTTACATCATATTCAAAGGAGTGAAACTGTTAACATTAATTTCTCAAAATAGTGTTCATTGATGAAATTTTTATCCATGGATTATAAATGTCACCAATAATCTTTTAATTTATCTGTTGAGAAATGTTGATAGTAATAATATCAAGAAACAGTGCTGGTCTGTTAGAACAGCTATCTAGCTATCAGGTTTCTTGTTTACCCTTTCTCTGGAATGTAAGTGATTTACAACCATTTATTTGCCTGTAATATCTTAAAGAGATGAGGACACAAAATAGATACCTCTCGACTAAATCGGCTGTTTACTAACCTAATAATGCTCTATCTTTCCAAGAATACGTAATAGAATCGTCTACTCACGAAATATTCTCACGGAATTTTAGCTTGAGCTTACGTCTAATTCGTGACTCTACTCAGATGCTGTTAGTAGATGAATCATAAATACTGATTATAGGTGCAGTATACACTCAGCACTAAGCATAAAGAATAAGATGCGGATTTTCAACACCAGTTCAGTCAAGTCAGTGCTTCTATGTGGTAGTTCAGAAACTTGGCGTGTCACGAAAAGCACTTCCAACAAACTACAGACATTCATCAACAACTGCCTATGCTTGCTAGATACTGAAGACCAAATGGCCAGAATAATAGGAATAAGCAACAAGGAACCTATCACTCAACAAATATGCAGAGAAAGAAAGTGGAGATGGATTGGGCGTGTACTGAGAAAACCATTCGGGGACATCGCGCGTCAGACCATGGAGTGGAATCCAAAGGGGAAACGATGAGCTGGGCGTGCAAGGTGAGAATGACATAGAGGAGATCGTGTGAGGAAGAACTGAGAGCTTCTGGGCAGTCATGAAGACAGGTTCAAAAGATTGCAGAGACGAGAGTGGAATGGAGACGTGCTACTGAAGCACTATGTTCTACTAGGAACCCAAGTGACAAATAATAATAATAATAATAATAATAATAATAATAATAATAATAATACAAAACCAATATACAACTTTATACATATGGGTTGATTCTGTGGTTAAGACCAAAGAGATAGATAGCCAATGATCACGGTGTACTTGAAACGATAAACAACTGTGATAAGGGTTTGTTTTCTTTACATAAGACGGCGTGAGAAAAGTTGAGCAGACAAGACATCATGGTCTAAATATTTTAGTTCACAGAGTGAACCACAATATGATTTCACACTTATGTCTCATATCATTGTGCTATCCATGTGTCTGGTTGACAGGGTAACCAGTTAGTAAAAGATTCACAAACTGCACGGTCTACATTGACATTTTTCACAGCTGAGTAGTTGATTCAACTGCCATCCAGCTGTGATGTCAACAGGGTAGTTTCCTTTCGAAAATATACTACTAATGAACAAATTGAGTAGTAAGAAATCACTTAGGTTGATATGATGATTTAAACAGTTAGATCAGAGTGGTCTAAGCATCAAACATGGGCTGTACAGTTTGTAATTCACTGGCGTGTTTCTTCGGTATGTTGACCGCTATGTGCACATCAGCTAGCCAACCGCTGATGAGACCAGTCTGACATGGGCGAAACTGTCGTCTGGCGTTTAGATCACTCTCACCTGCCTGGTAAAATCTACAGATCAGTTTGAGTGGTTCCTAACTACTCAAGTTTTAAAATACTTATTTTTAACCTAATTTACAACGTGGTTTAAGTTTGTCATCCTGTGATTTAAACCCTGTTAAGCATAAGACGTGATCATTCCACTATCGATATAATTTGAAATCGATAATTATTACTTATCCCTTGGGTTCCTAGTGGAAAATATGAATTCAGTAGCACATAGCCACTTCAATCTCTTCTCTCGAGTCTGCTTAACCCAGCTGAAGGACTACTTGCCCATATGCTTTCATTTCTTACCCACACCATCTCCTCCATGTCAACCTAGCCTCGCACACCCAACTCGTCGTTTCCCACACGGGTTCCACTCAACGGCCTGGCCAGGTACGTGACGTCCCCAAATCATCTTCTTAGTGTATGTCCAATCCAACCTAATCCTGTCTTTTCCATATTTGTTGGGTGATGGGTTCATCGTTGGTTCGTTGCCAGCCCCAGTCAGTTCCTTGTTGCTTATTCCTATTATTCTGGCCATCTGATCTGATCTTCAGTATCGAGTGAGTGGCCGTAGGCGGCATCTGTTGTTGTTGTATATCCGTAGTTTATTGGAAATGCTTTTCGTAATGCGCTGCCAGATCTCTCAACTATCACATAGAAGCACTGAGTTGATTAACATTAGGGTTGAAACTCCGGTTGTTGTTCACGCTTTATGCTGAGGGCAGTGCAGTGAAGTGGAGTATCTCTCCACACTGATTTCAGATTAATGAAGGCCTGTCTTTGTGTGTTTCCGATCCTGGCTTTGACGTCCTCGTCTCTGAAATGCTGAATTTTTTTTATCGCACGCTTAGTTTTTAAAGTAACGTAACAACCATGTAGATAACACTGTGATGTTAACATTGAGTGAAAGATGCGGACTAATCTCCATGAGTGATCAATATTTAATGGAATATAAGCATATTCAGCTGATCAGTTCAAAATGAAGTGAAATGTAGGATCTGTCGGTACATACAATCCAAGTTTTACCAGAAGCACTATCTAACAATGGTCAAAAATAGCTTATATTCCAACATAGAATGACCGACTTCCGCATCTGCTTCAACTTATCGTGGAACTTCAACTTCAGATTTGGTAGAACTTCCATGTTGGTCTGTTTATTAGAAATATCACACAGTGAAACAGTAGCATTTACTGGATAATGTTTTGGAAACAATTTATTCTCCATATTCATATCAGGATAACTCCACAACTCTCAGACAGACTTTATATATTCCTAATTTCCTCTCCTCCTCCTCCTCCTCCTCCTCCTCCTCCTCCTCCTCCTCCTCCTCCTCCTCCTCCTCCTCCTCCTCCTCCTCCTCCTCCTCCTCCTCCTCCTCTGTGATGACAAGGGTAGTAGAATTCCCGATATATCTGGGACAGGTGCAGAATCATTTCTACTGCATGTATTTGGTGTTGACTCGATAACACAGAGATTTAGTTATCAATCTCTCCCTCCACCCAACTATGTTAGTTTTTAATGCTGTTGCTCTATCCCACCCTACTGTGTGATTGTGTGTAATTGTGTGCAGAGCTATGGCAGAGCTTTTCTCTTAATCTGTTATCTTATAAGGACCTACTAATGATTGATTCAGCTAAGTTTTGTGCTCTGTTATTCTAACCGACCCTGGTAAAGTACATAGGTCAAAGAAGTCGATCAGGGTAGACCTTTAAAGCAAAATAATTTGATTTTCCAATTCCTTTGTAATGACTGTGAGGTCAAATGCACTGGTCAAAGTAGTCGACCTGCATTGATTAGAATAACAGAGCACAAAACTTAGCTGAGTCAATCATTAGTAGGTCCTTACAAGATAACAGATTTAGAGAAAAGCTCTGCCATAGCTCTGCACACAATTACACACAATCACACAGTAGGGTGGGATAGAGCAACAGCATTAAAAACTAACATAGTTGGGTGGAGGGAGAGATTGATAACTAAATCTCTGTGTTATCGAGTCAACACCAAATACATGCAGTAGAAATGATTCTGCACCTGTCCCAGATATATCGGGAATTCTACTACCCTTGTCATCACAGAGGAGGAGGAGGAGGAGGAGGAGGAGAGGAAATTAGGAATATATAAAGTCTGTCTGAGAGTTGTGGAGTTATCCTGATATGAATATGGAGAATAAATTGTTTCCAAAACATTATCCAGTAAATGCTACTGTTTCACTGTGTAATATTTCTAATAAGCAAACTAAAATGGAATTACAATCGACCACGGTGCCCAAGTTTTATTCATATTAATTAGTAGAACTTCGTTATAAATTCATCCGATAGCTTTTTTAAATACTTATCAAAGGTGTTAGTTATTAAAAACTGATTAGCACTACAATTGATCATTTGCTCTGAGATGACAGTTAAGGATAAGTTTATTTATATCCTAAGCTATGTGAGGTTATACACTTTCAGGGTCAATTTACTGAAGTAGTTCCAAAGTGTTGGTGTTAAATACTGAGAATAAGTTGGCAGAAAGCCTTGCTTGACCGAAGTTGTAGTGCTTGATGGTACTCACCAGTGTGGCATATATGTAACCATGAGGAAACTGGTACTCCGACGGTAGTTTAAACTTGCGTCAATCAGTGGTGAAGTCAGAGACCTAACCACTAGGCTTATCAGGACATGACTGATCCGCCATAGGGATATGGCAGACTAGTTGGAAGCCAGTTGAATTGTCCATCGAAGTTTTCCGTCCACTGTCCCAGGCGTTCCTCTTGACAGTGATCCGCAGACCTATCTTCACTGTGGTTTCAC